ACATGGAAGAAAATTATTCGTAGTGAATTCAGAAGCACAATCACAGCTAAAGGAAGAAAAATTTTTGGGCTTCAATTTTTCTTATGAGCTCTTGATATTTTTGTGCCAGTTTTCCCTGTTTTGTCTATTCTGCCTTTTTGATTGATAAGATGCTAATATTTCTTTCCATCTCTTTTTTATCCACAGTTGAGTGTGCCTGGATGTACAAGACTCAGCATTGAGGGCATTGTGACCAGCTTAAAGGCATTCAAGACTACAGGAGCTCAGGGAGTGAAGCATTTACGCATTGGCGGGGTCTATGGTGTGACACAGAAGCATTTTGAAGAGTTGACGCTCTTGTTGGGGCAAGATAGCCATGCCCAGCAGAATGTTCGTGAGCCACATTTTTATCACAGGGCAGATTTTTATCTGTCATGTGAGGATGATCGTGCAATTGATATTGAAATGTGCCCAAGATGCCAGAACCTGAGACTAGTTTATGATTGCCCCGCAGAGGGTTGCCGGGGAAACGAGCATCCCTCTCGGGCTTGCAGGGCTTGCACCCTTTGCATTGCACGGTGTGTCCAGTGTGGCCGTTGTATTAATGACAGTGAATACGAGGAAACTTTTTGTCTTGAGTTGCTTTGTTCAGATTGTTGGAAGCAGCCGCTGAAATGCCAAGAGAAGCAAGATATGAAGATTGGTCCGCTCAAGTTTCCTGAGCTACAAGAATCTTCCTGTAGCCTTCGTCTTCATGGCTAGAGACAGATATGCCTGCTCTTGTGTTCTGTTGACTATTCCAGAATTGATGATTGAGAATCTAAGAAGAAAAATTGATGCAGCCTTGTAGGATAAAGGTTCCTTTCTATCTTGTTTTTCCCTCCAAGTCCTGTGAGCCGCAATGGTGCAGCTGTTAGACTTCAAGTTGGGATGGGGGCATTTTCAGTAGTATACCTGATTTTTTTTCTTGTTGAAAGGAGAAGCAGCAACAACAACAAAAAAAAGTCACTACAGAAACAGAAAAGAGAACAGATAGCAATGGATTTTGAGTGGTTGATTAGTACTCCGTGCACTATCAGCTAAGCATCACTCTGTTGTCTCCAGTTTTTCTTTTATTATCACACGTAATCAATTCCAGGGAAGAGAGGATCGGTTTCACCTGTGGGTGACGTACGGAGCTGGCATATGTACCTGCATGGAAGTGGGTTGTGGTACATTGAGTACTGTCAGTGTCATATGTATTTGTTGACGATGATTGGAAATGGCATGTTGTACTTTGAGATTGGCCATTGTTCGGAATAAACTTGCATGATCTCTCTGTCGCCTGAATAGAGTGATTTGTTGTCCTGCCGTGTAGGATTTCATGTGATGCCGACCTCTGTCTAACCGTTATTGGTAAATGCTGTGTGCAGTATCAATCCAATCCTTGTTTTGTAGGCGTTTTCAGCTTGGAATGTGGTAGTATGAGATCTACTACTTTTAGTACTGATGGATTCCTAGTTTCTGTTGTGATCTTATTTGGCTTCTAGCTTGCTTCCTTGTCTGTAGAATAAACAATCTAAATCTGTTTTCCCCTATCATGGTGGTCATGTATGAACATTGATACTAGGGGGACTGTAAGATTTTATGTGGCTAACTAAGGGTGCCAAACTGTTACCTCGCCTTTTCAATTAAAAATAAAGGAGTCTGCGTTGAATATATGCTTATAGTGGTGCTTTTTAAATCGTGTGTTGAAAAGTTGCGAGATATTCTTTTTGGACATCCCTCATTATGGTTATAAATGTCTGGGGTAAAGGTCCGTACGTTAAAAACCTGCACCAGCAGCAATATACTTCTGTTGTCCGGCCTGCTCTTGTTTTGCCCTTTTATGCGATTTCTTCTTTCTTTTTTGGTTGCCTGCGATTAGCTATGATTGGTGGTCTAGAATTTGAACTTGAAGCCTCATCCCTCCAAGCAAGGTTACTATCGGGGTACAAGTCCAAGATTGCAGCGCGTAGCTAGCTTTTGGTGCTTGTAGTTGAATATTAGAATCAAAGTTCTTGTATTGCTCTGTCATAACTAACTAGTGAATGTGATAATCTCAAGGTGACGTGATAGTTAAGCTTAGTTTTCTGACAGATGAAAAGCAAGAGGTAAGAGGAAGCACCACATCACCTGATCACAGGGCAGGGTTTGGACATCAATTTACTGCCAAAGAGTATTAACACGGTAAAAATGCATGTTTTCGTTAGGCATTCAACCCATTAACGCAGTATATTTTTGTGGTTGCTGCACTGCTTGCGGATTGTTCAAATGATTTTTTTTTAAATCATTATAATAACTGGATAGCAGAAATAACGCCCATCTACTTTTAGACATAAATGGGTATATATATATATATATGTCATGAACACACCAAAGATCGAATCACGCAGGGAAAACCCGTCAACTCAAGATTCCTAGTCAATCACATAATCACATACTTACGTGCCTTGAAAAATACAAATGGTAGGATTCAAATAATAAATATTTTCTTCTTTTAGTTGACTTCTTACCACTTAACTATTATCAATTGTGCCACTTCCCCATGTCATTATAATCCTTACAACTGGAAATTAAACCATGGATGAGAAGAAGGAAGTTGAATGTCATTTGAAACATAGAGCTCAGCAGTTAGTGCTTCTCACTAAACATTGAGGGTGTCACAGAAAGAAGTTGGCAGCATGCAGTACACACTTGCAATAGAACCTGGAGCCAGCATTCCTAGCAATTTATCAGAAAACGAACAAAAGAAATTGCCTAACATTAAGAGTTATTGGAGATATCCTACCATAAATGAAGGTGTACCAGTCTGATTGAATGAAGGCAAAAAGGTTTAAAAGTTAGACACTTAACTGCATCTAATTTGAGTAGAGGAATTAGTGGGGTGCAAGTTACTTATCTTGGCTCAGACAGTTTTTGAAAGCTGGCTAAACCGCCATTTGCTTTTTTTAGCTCAACGCTGTTTAAATTTTGCCCACATCCATTATGATGGCCACCTTCTTGCACTTGACAAGGGTATCATGCTCAAAAAGTTGTCATTCAGGGGACAAGCTGCCCATGAATTTGACTGTCCATCTGTAGTGTAGAGATGAAGGCTATCTCACACCTGCATGGGACACCAAACATCCGCGCCAAACCTAGCAAATTGCCGCATTGTCTGTGACATCAAATCAAGGACTGCCCAACTTAATTATAAAATATATGGAATGATGTTGTTTATGTCTTAAGAATGGATTCTTATACAGTACTAACAGTGGCATGGGTGTTAGACATTTCATAGCCAATTCACAACCTTCTCTCAGAAGCTACTTCATCATGCTGCTCTTCCAGTTGTTCATCCACGTTTCTCTCGTTCATGGACTCTAAGTGCCGCAAATCCCTTGAACATCATGCATTGTCCATCTTATCAAAGGAGTTTGTTCCACCTGTGAGCAAAGTAAATTTAGGAATGGTGATGAAACTCTTGCAACAGTAACTGAAGAGTAGAAGAAAGGGACGGAAGGAAACTGTCATGTATCGAGAATCCATCACGCTTGTTGAGGGAGTGGGTAGTGAAAATTAAGAAGATTAATAGAGGGAAGGAGAGGAGAAGAATTACAGAAGAAAATAGCAACAAGGTTGGTCTCTCAGCATGGTCAAGCAGCTTATCTAGGAGTGATAAATTGCAGTATAGAATTTTGGACTCCATCACCTAAAAAATTAACATGACCTGCAATCTCCCTGCACAGGAATTTGGGCTCCCTAGCTAAGTTCAAGCTCTTGGTTTTTATATTTTAAAAGTAGTTTTAAAAAGTTTTTAAATTTTAAATTTATATTTTTTAGTGTTTTTAGATATTTTGATATGATGGTGTTAAAAATAATATTTAAAAATTAAAAAATATTAATTTAATATACTTTTAAATAAAAATTATTTCAAAAAATATATACTTGACCTCCTCTTCACTCCCATGCAACAAAGCTTTCCTAGCAGGAATCGCATTTTGGACCAAAAAATTCCTGTAAAATCTCACGTATTATCGCCCAATAACTTTCCCTGGGCTTAATAAAACAACTATAGAAGTGGCAACAGTATAAATGGGTTTGGGCGTGGCCCAAACACCCGGACATGCCTGAAAAACCTGCTCCTGGCTCGACAGTTGAAACGTTTAGCTATTTAAAAATATAGTAACAATTATATTTTTAAAATATTTTTATTTTAAAATATATTAAAATAATATATTTTAATTTTTAATTTTTTTTTTGATATTAATATATTAAAACTATTTAAAATATAAAAAATAATTTTAAAAAATTCAAATTTTTAAAAACTTTAATACAAACATAGCTTCAAACAAACCTAAAACTAGATCTAAATTACCATGAAAGTAGCTTTTTAAGATATATATATATATATATATATATATATATTCATATTTTTTTTAGTGAAAATAATGTTTTCATTAAAATAAATATATTGTTGAATTTAGACTACATGTGTAATTCATGACTAATTTTAAAATTGATTTTTTTAATAAATTTTATAAATTTATATTTTTTTTGATAATATTGGAAATTTTATTATCATAACTTTAATATATTTTTAATGCTTTATTATTTTTTTCCTCTCTCTAATCTCTTGTTTTTTTCTTAGCCCTGTCATCTTTTTTTTTTTCTGGACATTAAATTATTTTGATTTATTTCATGCCATTGGATTTATATAAAAAAAACATATTGACTCTTGCATGGGTGAGTTATTTAAGAGAGCAAAACACATGGATTGAAATTTGGTGGTTTTACACGTGTGCAACACTTCTCGTTGTCTATATACTTTCCCGTATCGATTACTATATTAATTTAGAAATTATTTATTCAGCTATATTAATTTAAAAAAATATATTAAAACTCGCTTTTACGCCACGCACGCTCTCAATCTCTGCTACCTTAAAACCTTTCGTTTTTTAAAAAATAAAAAATAAAAATAAAAATTCCTTGCTTAAACATCTTTTCTCACAGTCTTCCAGAAAGTGTAAAAATAAAATAAAATTCCATTATTAAATCCAAACCTCCCCCGGGACAGACAGGCAGAATGCCCTGTTCGTCTTCTTCTCTCCTTGCCACTCTCTTCCAATCCCCATTTCTCTCCTGTAAACAAAACCCTCCCTTTCCTTCCTAAACCTTCAAAAAATAAAATATAAATAAGAAGACTGGACATGTACTTGTCAGATAAGCCTCGCCCTCTCGATTTCTACAAAGAAGAAGTAGGACCATCGTCTTCTAGAGACAACATGATTATCGAAGTTGTCTCTTCCAACGGCGATTTGCCACCTCTTCATCTTCACCCCATCACCGCTGCTACCAACCCACACCAGATGATTCTCGGCGAAAGCAGCGGCGATGACAACCACGAAGTCAAAGCACCCAAGAAGCGAGCTGAGACTTGGGTTCAAGACGAAACCCGAAGTCTGATCGCGTTTCGCAGAGAAATGGATGGTCTCTTCAATACTTCCAAGTCAAATAAGCACCTGTGGGAGCAAATTTCTACTAAAATGAGGGAGAAAGGCTTCGATCGATCGCCGACTATGTGCACCGACAAGTGGAGGAACTTGTTGAAAGAGTTCAAGAAGGCGAAGCACCAAGATAGGGGAAGTGGGTCTGCTAAAATGTCGTATTACAAGGAGATTGATGAGATTTTGAGGGGAAGGAATAAGAATTCTCAGTATAAGTGCCCTACTCCGAAAGTTGATTCTTACATGCAATTTTCTGATAAAGGTATTTTTTGGCTTTGAGTTTCCAGTTTTTCCTAATTTTGGTTCCAATTGGAATTGGGCTGTTTAGTTTGGTGTTCGATTTCTTTTTCTATGCTGCAAACTGAGACAACAACTACTGGATAGTTTTGATTGTGTGGATTTCTGTTTTTGGGTGTTTGGTAATGAATTTCTTAAAATTGAGTGTTATCTAGTGTTGCTTTGAAATTTTTTTCTGGAGATTGATATTTATGGTTGGTTTCTGCTTTCTGGAAATTAGATTACCGTGTGATATGTTTGATGTGATACAGGACATAACTAGCGAAAATAGAGCAAAACGTTATTTAGGAATTAGCCCATGTCTTGGGGGCATGTTAAAATATTTTGTTTCATAGTTTTGAATTTCTAGACGATGGAATGTATTTAGGGTGTATGATTTGAGGAGAGCTAGGATAGGTGGCATTTGTTATGGCAGCTAGGTTGCTGGATATTGGCTAAAGGGTTATCAAAACATAGTTATGGGTTTATGATTGGCACGAGGAAAGACCAAGGTTTGGCTTATAATGTGAGGAACTAGAAAAATCAAGTTTTCATGAGTGAGATCAGTACTTAATGTAGGTGTTCTAGTGATTCCATGTTTGACTTGAAACTGAGGGTTGTGGAATCAGCATATACCATGTGAACCAGCTTTCTGTGACAATTATACAAGTCGTGTGGCTCTTGGGGTCCTGATAGAAAGTATAGCACTGTGTCCTTCTGCAAGCTTCCCAAATTTGGCTTATTGTGTTACTGAAACTCTGAGACTGGTGATGTAATGACCGGGGCTCGTGGGCCTGAGAGTAATATGAACATGTTGATTTTCATGGTTATGCGATTTTTTATTAGGTGTTTCTAACTCCTGTGCAACTTGCATGATTTCTCCCCATTGTAAACCAGATGCTGGATACTGCTCTAAGAAGTTTAGCAAATGATTGAAGAACATGCTTGTGTTTTTTTGTCATGCTTCCTAACTTTTGTACGCATATATTTGCCTGAGAGTTCATTTTTCCAGAATGCTTGTTTTGATGATCATTAGATTTTGACTGAAAACTTGTTATCTGGTAACCTTTTATGCTTTTATTTTGGATGACATCTGAACTACATAACTTCACACCAAAAATAGATTTCTGAGGATTCATATGCAGATGTTAGGAAGTCATGATTGTCATCCTTGATAAATTTCTTGATTTTATATTTTTGTTTGTTTGTTTTGAGGGGCAGTGGTGTGGGTGTTTAACTATTAGATTTTCTTCCTTTCTTCTATTTATTTATCTTAGGTGGGACCTGTGAGCAGAACTGTACGGTTTATCTTTTCATAACTGCACACCTACCTTTCCAGAGGCACCACTTTTTCAGTTATGGGAAATAGGGCAAAAATATTCCAGCATCTCTGTCCACTATATTTGCTAGTGTACTTTTATGTTTTCTAGCTTCCCTTGCTTCTGATAAATTTATTGCCATATGAAATTTCTTGTTCCAATGACCGTCAAGATACTTAATTTATAATTCACAACTTATACAGAACTTTTGGTTCTGTCATTATGATTGGGGATTCATCATACCATCTGTTTGGTTTATGCAGGCTTTGAAGATACAAGCATATCATTTGGACCAGTGGAAGGTAAATCACTGTTACTGATTTCTAATCATTGTAGTTAGTTCTGTGTGTGTTTGTTTGTTTGCTGCCTATTTATGTTTTTGTTGATGACACGGATTCACCGTTACTGATTTCTAATCATTGTAGTTAGTTCTGTGTGTGTTTGTTTGTTTGCTGCCTATTTATGTTTTTGTTGATGACACGGATTCACCGTTACTGATTTCTAATCATTGTAGTTAGTTCTGTGTGTGTTTGTTTGCTGCCTATACATGTTTTTTGTTGAAGACATGGATCTTTTTCGGTTACTGCTGTGTGTTCATGTGTGGGTGGGGTTAGTGAATGCATATCAAGTAGCTCTCATCTGAATCAACCTCAAGCAAATATGGAAGTGGTCTAGAAGGTCAACAAGTCAAGATGCTACCCTTTTGATCATGAAATTAATTTAGCATAGCTTCAAAGGTCGAATCTGTTCTTGCATAGAAAACTTCAAAGATCAAATCTGTTCTTGCATAGAAAGCCAATTGTCAAAACTATCCTTTGCAATGTGTGTGGCCATCCCAGAAGCAGCAAACTAGATCCTGGCTGTTCCTTGGCCAGGGAGATACAGTCTCTTTCTTTATGCCCCAAATTTAAATTATGAAAAAAAATATTTTTAGCTGTATATAGCTTTCAGCTTATTGGAAAGCCTCGACTGAACAGTGCAATTGTTTCCCAAAAAGGCTTTTCAAAGAAGCTGAAATGTAATTGTCTATCCTATTCTCTTATACAGCAATGAAGGTGAATGTCATCCTCTTGCTAGTAAAACAAATCATTGTTCTGCTTGTTCTGAATCAAAGCTTTGAGAAATGTATCCTGCATGGATTAGATATGCTTTTGATATTCTGCAGTAACCAACTACTGGATCTCAAATCTCAATATTCTCTTTCTATTAGGAATCAAGATCATTTTATATGTGATCCTGCTTTGCATCAACACAACACCACAAGAGCTTCTCAGAATTGGCATCAGGAAGTTGCCTTCTTATAGTAGTATATGCCACTAGAGTGTCACAAGGTTTCTTCAGATCCCTCCTGAATCACTTACCTCAAATATCAACATAGAACTGGGAACCTACAATACCAGAAATAAGTTCTTTCCCTGCTCTGTACCTCATAATTTTAGCCTTGAAGTTTTCACCTAGCCTGACAACAATCTTCAAGGGCTTTTATCCTCCAGAGACTTGCAGCTACAATTACTATTTTACTCACCCACACACCTATATGTTCCACTCATAAGTTTATCAATGGTAGTTCATTTCAAGAAAATTCTGTCAAAGATATTGTAGTGATGTGTAACTTTGATCATGCATTTTGAAGGATAAAAAAAAATTACAGTTTGCTAATATTATCATGACAAAATTGCAAGTGCAACATTGTTCTCATTTTGAAGAGGAAAGATAGGAAGCATAGTGATTATCAAAGTTCAAACATGAAAAATTGTGAATAAAGAGATCTTTTGAATAGTTCCAAAAAGGATAAATTAAAAAAATTTCTCCCACAGTGTGCTCAAACAAGTTACTGATTTTTGTCACAAAATAAGTTCAGATGTTTTCTTATGCGCTGTTTCAAGTTCAGTTGGCCACTTTACCATTTTACTTGTTATTGTTATCATTTTACTTTACTTTTCCTATTGATTTTCTCTCAAAATAGATATTCATTTTCCTCATTTAAGTTCTCTGCTACACAGCCAGTGCCAGGCCAACACTCAATTTGGAAAGACGTCTGGATCATGATGGACATCCCCTTGCCATCGCCGCGGCTGATGCAGTTGCAGCAAGTGGAGTTCCTCCTTGGAATTGGAGGGAGACCCCTGGGAATGGTAAAGTTTACTAAGATCAGAACCTATAAAACTTATTTCTGCTCAAAATGTAAAATTTCCTTAATGACTTGGCCGGATGAATTTTTTCTAAGCCCCTTGTGATCCTGAGCTACTTGCTCTCAATCATTTTGATGAGATGATGGAGATCTTATGTCAACTTTGATATTACCTCTCTAATATCAGGTGCTGAGAGTCAATCATTTGGTGGGAGGGTGATATCAGTCAAATCTGGGGACTACACAAGAAGGATTGGCATTGATGGCACCACAGATGCCATTAGGGAGGCGATCAAGTCTGCTTTCAGATTGAGAACTAAGCGAGCATTCTGGTTGGAGGATGAAGACCAGATAATTCGTGCTCTTGACAGGGAAATGCCTTTGGGGAATTACACTCTTCACCTTGATGAAGGTAATTTATGCATCTACTGTCATATTCTTATAAAATCTTTCATCTTTGTTTTTAACTGTCAGACTAAGGATTGTTAAACCTGTATGATACGATTAGTAGTTTTCTAGATTTTGAAATTCTGTAGCTACTTAGTGTAGTAGTTACCTTGAATAATCTTGTTTTTTGAAGACTTTTGTTAATTGTGCAGGGTGTGTAAAGCAAAAAATGATCTAATATCAGTCCAATTATTGTTTCTTTACTAGGACAGTAATTGTTTGCTTTCACATTGCGAAGGTTATTTAGAGCATTTATATTACAGGCATAGCAGCCATCGAAAGGAAAAAGCAATTGTAGCATTATTAGGCCAAGTCCCTTCACTGTTTCGACCCAATTCTTGGACATTCAGAATAAAAATTGCAGAATTATTATTAAACACTAATGTATATCATCTATTCAGGGCTAGCTATCAAAGTTTGTCTGTATGATCAGTCAGACCACATGCCAGTGCACACTGAAGAGAAAATCTTCTATACTGAAGATGACTACCGTGATTTTCTTTCTCGCCGGGGCTGGACTTGTCTGAGAGAGTTTGATGGCTATAGAAACATTGATAGTATGGATGATCTTCAGCATGATGCTATATACCGGGGCGTGAGTTGAAGCATCTCATACCTGCTACTTCTCTGTAATTGCTCACATTGCCACCATAAAGTCGCAGTTATGCCATAGCCGGGGAACTGTATTACACAATTGTACAGCATGCTGTAATTTTGTTGAATGGTAGGAGACTAGATCAAGTTCCTCTTAATCCATGGACATCCAGTGTTTGTAAATATGTATTTTCATTGACAAAAAATTATCATTTATTTCACTGACATCAGATTTTACCGTCTTTTTTAATCGTCGCCCTCTACTTTATTAAGCGCTCACTTTTTGTTTCTGTTCTTCACCCCCCCCAGGTGGGAACTTACCTGATTTCAACCTTTTGACTGTTGAAAAATGTGAGTGTTCAGAAGTCAAAATGATCAACTATCCAGGTGAGTAGGGTAGAATCAGTTCGGTTAAAGATACTTGCGATGCAAAGCGAATCAGTTCCCAGCTCGATTGCTGGTGATATTGTGTTCTTTTCAGTGATTTCCAGTTTCCCTGGAAAATCGAAGGATTACAAGATCCTGTTTCTGGGGTACGTTACCTTCCACCCCTGGCGATAAGAAGAATAGATAATACGGGAAAGGAAAAGGAAACTAAAGTTCCTTAAGTGTGATTTCAGATTCGAAAAAAGGATAAAGCGAGAAAGATAGTTGCAATGCCAAGCAAATCAATTGCCCGATCGCTGTTGATACAGTCCTTTTCAGTAAATTCCAGTTTCCCTGGAAAAATCAGAGGATTCCAAGATACTGTTTCTGGGGTGCATTTTCTGCCACCCCTGGCGATAAGAAGAATAGATCTTGCTTGAAAGGAAAAGGAAATCAAAAGATCACAGATAAAGTTCATTGTGGATTCAGATTCGAAAAATAGATAATGCGAGAAAGGAAATGTACAAAAGATCATAGCTAGGTTCCTTCGTTGTGGATTCAGATTCGAAAAATAGAACGCGAGAAAGGAAATGTACAAAAAGATCATAGCTCTCCTTCATTGTGGATTCAGATTCGATGTACTTGCATTCACATTACAAGTAAAACAGGGAAGCAAGGCCTAGATTTGCTTCATTTCAACTTCGACAAAAACATACATGATCGATTACAATCGGTACATAATTTTCTAGCAATGTTTTTATGCCGATCTAAGAACATGTGAATAAAAGATTCACAGTGACAGACACCAGAGCAGAAATCCAAAAACAGTTCACAAAAGACAGGGCCAGCTCTATTGTTCATCCCATTCATCATTCTTGTACGAAACCAGAGTGTCAACCTTATGTATCTGCATAATCCAACAACCAAGTCAGCTTGTAGTTTACCATATATTCTGTCATTATCCATCAGAAAGAAAATCATAATAAAGAGTAACTTGATTTCCAAACTCACCTTGGTGTCAAATGAATGCAATTTCACCATTTGTGGATTGGCAATAAGTTTGGGGTCACTCTCAATCCAGGTGAATGGGACTGCAACATCTTTATCAGTGTATGCTAACACATCAAAAACACCTAAAGCAAGAAAGAGACAAATTTCGATAATTGTAACCGAGAAATCATCAAAACATAACAAAATTCATTGATCAGGAATCAGCAAATGATTCTTACAAGATTCATCAAGGCATGGCAAGTAAGTAATGCTTGATGCAATCTGACGCATGATTGCCTGGATCTCTCTCATAATTTCTTTGTCACTCTTTTCCCTTGACACTCTGAAATCATAATCATGCGACAAATCAACCCAAGACTTCAGAAGATATTATTTTATATCATAAGGAAAAAGGAGTTTGGACTCTAGACAAAGTAATTACCCTTGCTCAACAACCTCACTATCAGTCTCGATACTGAAATTCCACCTCTCCAGGACCTCATTGGTGGCCTTGCTCATGATCACCAGAACAACCCTCTGTAATTTTCCAGCTTCCAGCCATTCTTTACAGAATTCAAAACCAACCATTTCAGTGATCAACAAAAACGCATACAAAGGCATCAATTTTGGGAAAAGAGCACCAAACTTGTACACGAAAAATTCATTTAGAATCAAACCATCAATTACCTGATAACTGAGCATTCAAGTTAGAAATAAAGGATCTAACACCTTCATCTTGAGTAAGCAGCATTGGGAGCCCATATTTCTTCACTTTCACAAAACTTTCTTCTGGATAAACCCCTCGATTGTAAAGTATACTAAATCAACAATCAGCCAATCAATATTAATTGCAAAACAAATAACAAAAACAAACAAGAAAACATAAATTAAATTCTGTAAACTTTACCTGTTTGCTGCATAACCTGAAAAGGGCATCAAGGATTAAAAACAAAATATCATCCAAAGCTCTTGATAAAGATTCAATGAATAAATTAACAAATTGAATTCAAGAAAGGGATCAAATGGAGACTATCACATACCAAAGAACTCACTAACAATCGCTGCAGAGCCACGGAGAGTGATTATGTCTTTTGCAACCGTTCTTGATGCCATGATTCTCTTTGAAATCAAAATACAAAGAAAGATGGGTTTTTGTTTATTTGAGAATTGATCGCAAGAAATCAGGGTTTGGTGAGCGGGTAATAGATTAGCGATGAAATGTAATGTAAAGACGTTAGGGCAAGTAACGGCTAGTTTTCCTCTGGGTCTCGAGGCTGACAACAACGGTACCATTTTAAAGTGCGCCTTTAACGGTAGCAAAATGGGTTTGGTTTTTTCTTGATATTATTTTTCTTTCAAATGTTGCGACAGTGCGCTCGTAGGGATTGTCTCGGACGCCATGTCGCTTGGTGAAGCGGCTACAGGGTACAAAGACACGATCTGGGAACCCGTTTGAAACAGTATTTTTTTAAATAATCTTTTTATTTAGATTTTTTATTTTTAAATTAAAAATTATTTTATATAAAAAAAATATCTTTTTAATATCTTTTCAATAAAAACAGTTTTAAAAAAATCGTTACTATACTCCCACCTACAATGTCTGGCATAGCAATTGGAAAGTATTTTTGAAATTTTTTATTTTTTATTTTAAATTAATATATTTTTTATATTTTTATATTATTTTGATGTCTAAAATAATTTTTTTAAAATATTATTTAAAAATATTTTGAAATAAAAAATACTTTAGAAAACAATAATTACAACATTTTCAAACACTAATATTGTTTGAAATTATTGTATATGATATTTTTTAAAATAACTTTTCATTTAAAAATTTATTAAAATAATTTGTTTTTAATTTTTAACATCCATGTATTAAAAATGTAAAAAAACATTAAAAAAATCATTAATTTAATATTTTTTAAATTAAAAATACTTTTAAAAATACAATTAAAAACATAAATAAAAATTATATCAAACAACCTAAAAGGTCGAGGCTCGAGAGTTCGGCAAAAGTTATTAAGTGTTTGTTTTTGAATTGAAAACCTTTTATAAATTATCTTTTATTTTAAAATTTTAGGTGTTTTTAGATAATTTTTATATAATAATATAAAATTAAAATTAAAAAATATCATTGCGTTGCATTTTAATTGAAAAATATTTTTTTTAAAATAATTTATATTAAATACACACATAGATAGCAATCAACCAAAGCTCTCTCTAAAGAATTAGGCTAGAATTCGTGTTTATATATTACTGGATTATATAAAATGAAACTCAAGGTTCTATTTCACTCTCCAACCTTATTAGTGAATTATATTAATTTTTTTGATAAATTTGTAATTTATAATTTTTTTATTATAATTAAAAAATTTAACATTTAAAAAATATTTTTAATTGGACATGACATATTAATTAATTATATTAAACTGTGACTGTCAAGACCTGAATCCTGGGTCCGTGACTAGCAAAGCAGGAGCGGTGTCAGAAGAACATCCCACTTACGTTAAGCCTCAAAATGAATATATCAAAAAAACAGGTTATTCAAAAATACGCAGTATTTTTTAATTTTTAGAAATATTATGTTATTCAAAACTGATGAACCTAAAAAATAATTCAAAATTCTTCATCAGTAATTAAAACAAAAACAATAATTCATAATACGCACTACATTATCAAAATCCAAACTTAATTAAAACAGAGTAATAGTGGAGCGTCTAAGATATCGAATTAAAACAGCCTTGAACAATAAGTAAGGCATACTGACCCAAAGCTGAAGAAGCAGGAACACTCAATAAAGTCCAACTGCTATCAGAAACTAAGAACCTGAAATAATATTAAGAATGAGGGGTGAGTTCAACCAACTCAGTGAGGGAATAATATTTAATATACATTTTAGATATTTTTCATATTAATAGTTTATCAGGTGATTTATCTTGATATACATATACATATACATACTAAACATATTATCATAATGTAGTAGAATGATATACATATACATATATATATATACTGAGCATATTATCATAATGTAGTGGAATAATATACATATACATATACATACTAAACATATTATCATAATGTAGTAGAATGATATACATATACATATATATATATACTGAGCATATTATCATAATGTAGTGGAATACATGTCAGAGATCAGATAACACCCGAAGGTGACCAGATGACACCCGAAGGCGATCACTATGGGATAATCAGTCGCCACAGGCTGATGCCTCTCTCACCAGCTAGGTATACAGAATATTATGTGCACATAGGCTAACTACTCTTCGTTAGCATGGAGTTACTGAAAAGTCCTATATTAAGACATAATAGATATTTACAAAATCATCAAAGAAACGTATATCATATCAAATAGAATTTAGCTCGGCAGAATGCGAGCGCAAATTCAAGAATAGATGAATACTCAGAAAATAATACAAAATATATAAATATTTAAGAGATTAACTAATCGTACTCATCATATAATCAACATACATATTTATTTATATTATATGCATATTAAAGATTATCCCACTTACTCGTAAAATATAGAACTAAAAGGAACGTCAGACGAAAGACCCGAAAATCCTATTGAGGATCGTTAGGAGAACCTACAA